AGTGAGACAAACTGCCTGCCTGGGAAACCGCTTGTAACTGTTCCGCAGTTTCTACACTCCAGCTGCAACAAACCTAAGGTGACGCTCGCTCTTGACACATCTTCCAGGTCATTTGGTCTTGAGAGGGGAAATAAAAGAAACTCATGACTTGTGGCTGACTGTATTCCTTCAGGACACTAAACATGACTTGGGAAATCAGATTAGCACTCAAAACAGCAGTCACCCATCTTCCTTTTAGATCAGAAATAATCCCTGTAAGAGAGGGCAGTAAGACCCAGGTTGACGCTGACATGACAACGATGCTGGCATTTAAATTCAACAATTCTTTCCAGAAAGCTTAAAAAAACTGGAACATTTTACAATCTTCGTGAGTTCCAGCATCCTGCACCTAAGTTTGTAATTCTGGTTCATCTTGGACCTTGCACACCTGGTGAAGCAAGCACTATGTAAGCAGCGTCAGCTGTGTCTCAAGCACTGACGCAGACAGAAGTATCCCGTCGGAAGGGAGAGGGACAAGCAAGAGCCACCTGGTCAGCACCAGCAGAGAACCCTTTCAGTGGCACGGGTGTGTTCTGGCTTTCAGGAGGAGACTGACGAAGCTGTACACCTAGTTCAAATCACCATCATCACAGTCAGCAACGCACGCTGCCTTATGGGAAACCCCCGAGGAACAGAAGGCAGGCAGACAGTAGAGAGCCACAGACAGAGCTGCCTTTTTCTAAAGAGACAATAATGAAAAAACAAACGCTGTTCTGTAGGACTACTTTTAATGTAAGATTTTGTATACTGTAGCAAAGTTGCGTTTGTCATATACACTTATTATACTGAATTACCAAACTACCACAATAGGACCACAGCAGATCCCATGGTAGCACATAATACATGCCAAATATAAGTACGCCGTATTATTCAGGACGTCCACTTTTTTGACACATTTAAGTGGTTTAAATGATCGCTGATGTATCTGTGCTCAGGGAACTTGGCTTTCACCAGACTTTTGAAAGCTTCCCATTTGGCACGTCGCTCTTCTGTGTTATGCTTGTACTCCTGTGCCCGTGTCAGGTAAGGTCGACTCAGCCAATATTCATTCTCTGCTTCAATTTCCAGCCTTCGGATCATTGCTTGCTTCATTGAAAGCGTCACCACTCTTGGCCGCCTGTATTTTCCAATCCACTGTTTTCCAGGAATTCTCTTTCGGAGTAATACTGTTGTTAAAAACATTATGCCTTAAAATATAGACAAAAATATAAAAGGCTCATTAGACTGGGGACAAACATTAAAAATTTTACAAGAAAAACGAGAAACCTGCACACACTCCACTGCCTCTTAGGTGGCTGTTTTGAAATTCAGAACCCGATACTCGCAACCAACCCTTACGTACAGCAGACAGTACAATGACAGACATATTGGAAACTTAAGACCAGAAAAGAGAAATGGAAATCTTTATTTAGCTAAATAGTTTACTTGGTTATCCTTACGTTGAGATTAAAGCGTGTTCTCTATAAATTACTTATCAAAAATCCCATCTCAGATACTATGAAACAAGGGACTCACTTCATTGGTTCCTTCTCCAAATAGCTAACTGTGTTGTCACAACAGGGAGTATTTCCAGGTCCATCCGCTAGATCCAGATCTGGCCTTTCCTCAGTATTTAAACTTAACAGAATACAATTATGCAGTCTTTTTTTTTCACTAGGGGAAATCAGGTTTGTAGAGAAAAACAGTGTCCTGTATCAGACCAACTAGCGTTAAGTAGAAAGCTCCAATACAGCGTTTAACATAGCAGAAGTGTGACAAAGGGGCAAGAAAGACCAAACTACATTTAGATTCGACACACGTGCTCTTCATTACCCTGTTCATGAGTCCTACACACGCCTAACTCCTAGGCCTCTCCCTACACCGTACCTTCACCAACCGACAGCTCAGCCAAGAACCCGAACC